GCGCTATATAAATAAAATTGAATTGAATTGAATTGAATTTCTTTTTCCCGCTCCTAGCATTCTGATTTGCCGTATTGGTAAGGCGAGTCTCCTTTCTCGTTTATCTACACTGCTTTATTGTGCTGATAACAAAGGACACTGGTTAAAATTCGGTATTCGGAGTCTTCAAAGTGAAGGCAGAAAAAAACAATTTTATTTTACATTATCAAGTGCATTGTTTTAGGTATTATAAGTAATCTAGAGATGATTCAAAGTGTAAGAGAGGATGGGTGTAGGTTATATGCAAATACTAAACCATTTTACATAAAGGCACTTTTCCACTACTACCCTTAACCGAGTTGTACCCAAGTCATAACTGCGCTGACATGGTCTTGCTTACCAGCAGGGCCGAAAGTGTGACCAAACCAAACTGGTTGCGTCACCACCATCTGACTGGACGAAACACGAGATATCAGTGATCTGCATCGATATGCATGGATTATCTGAAGGGAAAAACCAGCACTCTCTATATATTATTCATTATTAGTAGTATAACACATTGCAATGTATTGATGCATTCCCAGTAACTCAGAACTTAAATTTCCAACCTACTTAAAGTACTGGAGTATGGGTGAATGGAATGGACTCGTAATGCAAATTTACGTAAGCTAATGATAATTCCACTAGTGCTTGATGTTAATATAACGCAGTGATTCTCACAGATGTACCAGTGGAAATTAGCACATCATAAACCATAAAGTACACATTGTGAACAGTAAATGCATATCTCTTTGATTTTATATCACTGTCGCTCTTCAAACCTGGCAACGCCTTTACCCAGCTGACCCTTCGGCAGTGGAAAATCGAAGCGAGTTGGTTAGGTACAGCCTGCTTCCAGTATGCTAGTGGAAAAGTCTCAGAAGCGACTTTAACAACTGTCGATTTTGGTATTTGCTGGGTGTCCTGGAACCAAGCCCCTGCAAATATGGAGTGTTGACTGTAAGTAAATGTAAGGGTTCTACTTAAACCTATTGTAAAGGGAGGGGGATTATTCTGGGAAAGAGTGAGGGCAGTTCACAATCCCATTAATATACTACACATCTACCTTCACTCAAGATGGGATTCTGTCACTTCCTTAAGCCCAGCACAAGCCCTGATGCCTGAGCCTGAACCTCACGGTAGCCCTTGCAGAAACTGAACGACTGTTTTGTTCCCCTCCATTGCCCTTGCTGAAAGGCTGTCATGTTTTCCCATTCCCATTTGGTTAAGCACCTTTCCTTCCTCCCATAGCCTGATCACACCATCTAGTCCAGACTGGGGGCATACTGGAGCATGTTAGGAACAGCGCTTCATAAAAATCAATTAACACAGATGATTGGAAACGAAGCTCCAGGGGGGTCGTCCCTGCACTCACCTTCCACTGCGGCAGATGTCGAAGGCGCGGCATGCTGGTCAGGCATCCCAGAATCCAGCAGAGCTCCGCGTGCTCAGACACCTGTGAAGGAGCACGAGGCACTGTGAAGGCCAGGGACAGGGCAGCTGTGACACACAACACTTCATAGCACCAGTCACCAGGTTACAAGTCCAATAGATACTCAATGAATATTCATGAGTAAGTGTGACTGCCTGTGTCACTGAGTCACCAGTCCAATAAATATGTAAAAGAATGCTCTTGAGTAAGTGTTACTGGCAAAAGTCATTGTGGTACTCAGGTGATTCATTGTGGCTTCTCCTTTCCTGTGTGATGGGGCTGAAGCATGCAGCATTCAACTTTCTCAATCCAGTAACTGGAATGGGGAGCTGTCGGACAGCCCTGTCACCTGCTCCATCCACCTAATTTGCACTCGTCCCACACTCACCAATCTGTACAATCCTAGAATTACCAGATGGATCAACTGGAAATGTAAAAGTTAATAAAACATTTCTACCTGAATGTTCTGAGTCATTATTGTGACATTTAGGTTTGAATCTATTGTTCATTTATCACACATTGCAGTTTTATGCCAATTAGCAGAATCTCACTAATATTCATGTCTTAAAATGTCATTTATATTAATTATATTCTGTAACACTAAAATTTCTAAACACATTAATATGCAGTATAATGCATTGATAAAGAATTATAAACATGGCTACAAATATTTATAAAAAGGTATAACACATTATAGTCATGTTTATCATACATTAGGACTGCCTTATGAAGCCCTCATTTATAACGCATAGATACAGTAGAACCTTGGAACTTGAATGCCTCTGAACTCAACAAACTTGGACATCAAACGGGTCTGTTGAATTTTTTTCCGACTTGTACCTTGACCTAAATCTTGGAACTTGACCATTCCTGCTAAAACTTGTATGGGTCGAGACGCATTCAACTCTACCAATTTGGACCTCGAATGGGTTGGTTGAGAAAAATCTAACCGCAACTCGACCGAATACTTGGAACACAACAAAACAAAGCAGACCTGCTAAAACTCATACAGATCGAGATGCGACAAGGCAAACTGGGATGCTGATGTCTATGCATCACTCTCAGTCTCACAGAACCTCTCGACTGAGTTTGACTTGCGAAAGCTGTGTTCCTGTGTTCAGTGCGAATTTCTTTTGTGCTTTATCTACAGCACATTTAGTGATACAGTAATCATGGCTCCTAAGAAAGTAGGCGGTGATAGCAGCAAAGCAGTGAGTATAACTGTAGAACTTATAAAGGAAATTATAGCGAGACTTGAAGGTGGTGTATGTGTGTCTGCATCCTTAATGCTTATACCAACCATTATAAAAGTATCTATAGTCCATTATAGCTGAGAGCTTCATAAAGTAATCATAATGCATAATAAACATGGCTATAATGTGTTATGCCTTTTGATAAAAATTGTGTATAATGCTTTACGAATGCATTATTAGTTGTTCTGTTGTGAATGTATGTCTAAAAATATCTATTTTTATATTCCACGTATTCCTCATTTGCACTATTACAAGCATTTTCCACAGTAATGGAGTCTAAGGTTGTACTGTCAATTTTAAGAAATAAAGGTCCACAACAATAATATTTGCTGGGGGGGGGGTGACGTAGATAGGCCCAGCCAAAACTACAAGATAAATTGCATCCCATATTTTTTCAAAACTGGACACAGCATTTTACTTTTCAATACAGGGTGATCGTGCATATACAGGACGGGTGCAAACTCTATTCTTCAAATCACCCAAAAGTCTTAATTGCATGACAACACTGATATATTGCTATTGCAAAACAGGGGGGGGGGAAAAAAAAAAAACTGAAGAGAGAAAAATAGATGTTCGTACTTACAGTATATACAGGGGATTAGCTAGAGTATTTACAAATCAAAATATCCTGGATATTCATGCATTTCATATGCATTTCTCTTTCACTTATAGCATACCAATTCTTTACCCACAAAACAATAAGGAATATTGGGAAACAAGTGACTTTATCTGAATGGATAACTGTGAAACTGTGGTTAATTGCCCTCATTTAAATGTGGTTAAATGTGTTAATTTAAATGGCTAAATGTGGTTTCTTTTCAGACACACAACCACACACAGGGTCTCTTTCTTGAATGACGTGTTTGAAAAACAATGCTAATGGGTGTTTCTCAATATGTGTACTTGACCGTACTTGCGTTCTTGTGTACCCATTTTACGTCATGTTCCATTGCCCAAAACCAGCTTCAATACTAAAAACAGAAGTACAGAGGATGGTACAAATCCCCAGATATCATTCCTGCCCCACTTCAAATATCAAGGGTACATCGGTTGCATCCTCACCAAACGAGACCAATCCCATGATTCACTGTGCTCCAAGTTCGTTCCTGGAAGGCAAGTTAGTAAGAGCAGTCTTGTCAAGACTACAAGTATGAGCTTTGCATTGTTGATATTGAGAAACACTCCATGTGAGCTATCAGCATGATGGATGAGGAGCTGGTGCCAAAAAGGACTCAACATCAGTCCTGAGAACTTGAAATAGCTGTGTTATTTAATGATTATCTACTGACTGCTCATTAAATTTTTGATATTTAAAATAAAGTTTAACTCGGGTTTTAAGTGACCATTTTGAAAGCAGTGTCTTTAATGCAATATTGTGTTTGAAATGGTGCAACAGATAAGTCCTTAGGCTTGTTGGAGTCTGGGTATTTTTGACAGTACATTTAGAAATTGGGAAGAAAGATTGCATTTCAGATGGTGAATCGCGATTGCATTTTATATGAATCACAATATGATTTTTTGGAAGATCACCCATCTCAAATTATGACCCTACCTTACACTCTCTCCTCACCTCTCCAAAAATGTGACATGATTAAATTCCTCATGATACATTTGGCCAACCAGCTATCAGACTGCTACCAATAAAATTTGCCAAGTGGGGAGGCTAGCGACAGAAAAGAACAAACTTCATTAACTTTATCATAGAATATTCAGAAATTCATCTCAAGCTCCAGAGTTTTAGATTCACTGACCTGTACAATACACCTGGGAAGTTAGAAAAAAAGATCCACGGAATAAGCAGAGATAGCTGATGGCAAGGGTGTCACAGTTTCCAATTTAAGTGAGCAATTTGAATCCGTCCTCACACCTCATATGTATACCTATGTGTAGGCTACCCATCCATTTCAATATTGACCATATGGAGAGCTATGCAATATGACGATATATACAGTATACCAGATGATGAAACAAAATGTCTATAAACGTATATATATTATGCTCTATCATTTATTTTGTGGTGTCGCAAAATACACTGCTTATAGCAACATTTTT